GGGCGGGGGAAGGCGGGGCCTTCAAAGGGTGGAGCATACAAAGATGCCAGCCAGCGTCAACGTGCCGTGCTGTGCGCTGCCACGGCAGGATACGGGTGGATTGCGCTACGAAACTCGTGTCCGCTTTGGATGGCGAAGCTGCCGAGCAGCTGGTGGAAATCAGCCTCGAATCGCGTCCAGGGCTGCAGCAAAAATCGCCCTGGCCATGGGGCCCTGGCCGCTTGTGCACCTGCAAACTCTACGCCGGTGGGGCCGCCTCCCACCACCACAAAGTGCAGCAGGCGCGCGCGGTCCTCCTCGCTGGTGCCTAGGATGGGGTTGAGAGGGGGGGAGGATCGTGGGGCTGGAGGAGGTGGAATTCATGAATTTTGGCGGGTGGGGGGAGGCTCACAGCAGCGGACACGGGGCCCAATGACCGCGTTGGAACACTCGTGCTTGAACGAACACCTGTTGCGGCCAAGCGCAGCCCTGTTTTTCCTGCAACACTCACTTGACCGTCGCGGTGCTCAGCTCCTGAAAGTCAGCACGCTGCCCCCTCACCCCTCCGGCCGGGCTAAAAGCCACATGGGAGGGAGGCCGCTAGCGGCACACAGACGCACCTGGCAGCGCGGCCAGTTCAAACACCTCCTGGGTGCGCCTCCTCAGCTTCACCGCGTCTGTGATCTCCTTCATAAAAAACGCGTGCTCCGCCACACCTGCGATCAAAATGGATCGGGGTTTGCCTTGCCGCGCGTGGGCGGGTGCGACGGTAGGGCAACAACAGAAAAGCAAAGGAGGGTTTGTTCACATCTTCACGGCAAGGAATCATGGAGAGGCCCCTTCACTTCACACCTTCCCCAACGCACCGGGGACGCCGAACGTTGAAGGCTGCTCCCCCACCGCCACCACCAGAGTGTCGTATTCCACCTCAAACTCGGGGCGGCGGCCGTCCCTGAACGCCACCGCGCCGGTGCAGCGCGCCACCTTTGAGGCCGGCGGGGGGCATCAAGAGGCGGGGGTAACGGTGGGGCAGAGCTGGTGGATGAGGGCAGTAGAGGAGAATACTTTGACAACTGCATGCGAAGTGCAAAGCAATGATGCCCAGCAGCTGGAGGCTGGCCACGTGCTCAGCTGCTTTGCAGCGTCAGCGGTATTGTGGCAGACCTGAAAACAGAGTTGAAGGCAGGCGCACCTTTTTATCAGGGTCGATTGCGTCACACGTCGCCTGTGAGCGGCCAATTGGGGTGCAGTGGGGGGCCGCATGCGAGTGAACCTCTGCCTCCAGGTAAATCAACTGCTTTCTTACAGCCAGATTAGCATGCTCTGAGGTTGCACAAAGCTTTTGAGAGCCCAGGGGTAGAGAAGCCGTTGCGCATCATCAGGCGGCCCACCCCACCTCAAAGTATGTTGCAAAGGGGTTGCAGTTGCGGATGGGCTCCAGCAGGCTGCGGAACTCAATTGTGCCTGAAATGCATTGGCGCAAGTAAGCGCTTTGGGGGTCCGAAAGGCAGCTGGCGCTCTGCCTTGAGACAGGCTATCAAGCGCCACATCAGCACATGGCCACGTGCTAAGTGAGGCGTGGCTGCCGCCCGGCGAGCCTGGCAGCTGAAAGCAACTCGCGGCGGGCGGCTGCTTGATGCTGCGCGCGGCTCTCACCGACGGCGGTAGAGGGCAGCATGGGTGTGAATATGAAGTGGTTGCGGGGGCTCACGCAGATCACTTCGTACAAGTCCGTGTCAATGACCTGCGTTGGGGGCCGTTTGGGGCATGCATTCGGGAGACGCACGTAGGAGAGGACTGGATCACCACACAAGATCGCAGCACGCCTGCACGTATGGTGCCAACGCCGACCTGTCCGAAACAAAAAGCAGCACAAAGTTGTGTTGCAGCCAGCCACGTAGTTCGTAGCACCTGCAGCTGTGATCCACACCTTCCAGCCGTGATCCACACCTTGATGAGCGACTGCGCACCCCAGCCAGTGCCCAGCACCAGCACCACGGGCTTGTCCAGCTGCCTCCTCAGCTTCAGCTTCCCATCCTTCTGCCGCACTAGACGGTCGATGGCGTTCCTGCGTGGGTGGGCAGGCATGATGCGTGGGAGCGAGGCACACGTGCGGATTTGCGTGTATGCATACCCGCGAAGGTGCGTGGGTACGCGGGTGCACAGGTCAGGTGCTCCCAGCTGCTTCGCAAGCGGGCCGATTGACTTACACGGATGGGAGCACCACCGTTTCAGCTTTCGGCCCCACGACAGCAGCAGTTGCATGAGCGTGCGGCGCATCTTTGACGCCCAGCAACCTGCATCGTTCACGTCCACCCCGCTGGACGGCATACATGCTAACCTAGCAGGAGCCTCGGCGCCGCGTCGCGCCATGAGCCAGATGTCTTCGACCTGGGGTCATGCAAAGCATGCAACCCACGCGTCATACGCATCAGCCTTCCCCAACCCAGAGAAAGGGTTGCATGCGTGTCCGCGCAGCACAGGCAGCCCATCTATGTAATGCCGACCAACGACCAAGGCGGCGGCATTGCTGCAAAGCGAGCAGCGGGCTCGCACGTCCAGCATCGTGGTCAAGCGTGCAGCGTGCTTGGATGGATACAGATGGCAGCAGCGGCCCGCGGACGACGCGCCCTGTACACGGATCTGGCCGTGGATAGGGGCGCGGTCCCGCACCGTGTCTGCCATCTTCTCCAGCATAACTGATGCGGCGGCGCGCCTCTTTGGCCACGGCAGCTGGATAGGCGCGGTCGGCGCCTGCTGCGGCGGCTCCTGGGATTGGGGCCGGGGAGGGCGACGCAGGCGCGCGGGTTTTGGCAGGCCTGAGCATGTTGGCAAGGGCAAAGGCAATCAGGCAGTGCGGGGACTTGCGATAGATGCATGCGTGTGAGATGACGGCGCAGCAGGACGAGGCAGCACTGAGGAAAAGGGGTCGGGAGAAGACACACTTGGACAGGCGCCATGGCAGGCTTCGTCTCGGGCGCGTCTCCTGGTTCGCTGGGCTTTTGGGTGGGCAGGAACGCGCGCACCGTGGTGCGGCGCAGGCGCGCCGCGCCCCTGCCTGCGACAGTACGCAGGCGTAAATGAATGTTCGTTATGCCCGTAGGTGCACAGCCACTGTTCAAGAGGCAGATGGGCATTGTTGATGCTTTTATTTCTGTGTACTGGCAGGTTCCGTGCGCTGATCTGCATCACTGTAGGCACCTTGTTGCTGGATGGCCGCGAGGTGCCGAGATGACCGCCGCACACTCCTCACCTGCAGCCGGGCCGAGTGCACTGGGCCGCCGCCGCGAAGTGAGGGTAGTAGTTCCGAGCCTCATTGCCGTAATGTTTCCCTCGATGAGCCGCTTGACGGCCGGCAGTGGTGTCGTGGGCTTACGGGCGATCGATCGGACCTGCACTCGGCAACCTCAGTGACGAGTGTCATATGAAAGCTTGATCGAATATCCAAACGTCCTACCGGCTGTCCGAGACACTTTTAAGCGTGCGTGTTTTGCAGCAGCAATGGGCACTGTGTGTGTGCTGCCGGAACTGTTCGTCAAGGCCTCGATCTTGCACAGAATAACATGTTAGAATCCATCAAATTGAAGTGTTAGTCACAGCAAAGCGACCTTGCATCGCTCCTCTCTCGGCGCCACCATGGCGACCAGGGCGGTGCTGCAGACGTTTGAGCGGTATCAAAAGGAAAGAGTAGCCTTTGTCTCGGCGGTGGCGGAGATGGCCAAGAACCCGCAGGTCCGCGAGCTGTTTTCAAAGTTGCCATGGCAGGCAGGGTCAGGGCGAGGTCTCCGCTTAGAAGCTCTATAAACGGACCCCACCGCTTCCTGTAAACGCAGAATATTGAGGCGTTGCAACAAGCCGGTGCTATGGCCCTGCTGCGGCCGCTCCTGCTGGACAACGTGCCCAGGTGTGCACAGCACTACCGTACGCCGCTGCACCGCCGCATTCGTAATACAACAGACGCCCCCGCCCAGTCTGCAAAGCGGGGAGATAGTTGAAATTGCTATAGCCTGTAGCTCGGCAGCGGTGTCGCATTCGCACGATAACCATGTCAACCGAAGCCTCCGCACACATGCGCACATGCGTGCGCAATGTTACTCGCGGCGCGCCCACAGCATCCAGCAGTCGGCGGCTATGGCTCTGGGGCGATTGGCCAATTACAGCGACGACCTGGCGGAGGCGGTGGTGCAGAACGAGATCCTGCCGCAGCTGGTGAGACGAAATGCTCGCCCGACACTTGCAAGCGCTCGGCACGGCCCTGCATCACCATGTGCCGCGCAGCGGCGCATGCGAACGCATGCGGCTGGAAGCGAAGGCCCACCGCTTGAGAAACCTCTCGCCCATGACCTGCAGGTTTACTCGCTGTCGGAGCAGAATCGCTTCTACAAGAAGGCGGCCGGCTACTGCCTGCGCGCCGTCGCGAAGCACTCGCCTGAGCTGGCGCAGGCGGTTGTGGACAGCGGGGCGCTGGACAGCCTAGTCACCTGCCTCGAGGAGTTTGACCCTGGGGTCAAGGTGACGTGATCTCGAGGGGACACTCATGGCCATGCATGCGTGCATGCGTGCATGCGTGCTTTCAGGCACATGCACAGATGCGCATCTGCTCGGCAGCCAGGGCTCCCTCAGCCTGACGCCGCATGGGCGTCAACGGGGAGCAAGAGAGGGAGCCGCGACCTGCATTTAACGGCCGCATGGCGGCCGGGGGCTGGTTGCATGGCTCGTTGATTTCATGGGCTGTGAGGGCGCCGCCAACTGGCGCGGCGGGGGTTGATCCGCTCTGCAACACGCTACGTGCAGGAGTCTGCGTGCTGGTGCCTGGGATACATGGCCGGGCACAGCACAGAGCTGGCGCAGCAGGTGGTGGACGCAGGTGCGGTGCAAGCGCCGACCGATGCGTGGGCTGCAAGTCTAGCGATGCATGCAGCTGGCTAGCTACAGTTTGGCTCGTTGGCGGCCCCTGGTGTGCGTGCGTTTAAGGCTGGTCCTGGACACACCAACTGTGTGACGCGGCTGTGACCTTGGCCTCAATCCATGTGTAGCTTCAAACCACATATTCCCACCCCAAGACAAGCGCGTTTGCCTGTGTCCATGACCGCAGGTGCGGTGCCGCTGCTGGTGCTGTGCGTGCAGGAGCCTGAGCTTGCGCTGAAGCGGGTGGCGGCGAGCGCGCTCAGCGACATCGCAAAGCACACGCCGGAGCTGGCGCAGGTGCGCAAGCAGCAATTCCTGGGGTGCCCGGCGCGCCTCGATTCAGGGGGCTCCTGCGGCATCTGTTTCGCTGCAGGGTCAAATTTTCTGGCCGAGATCACAAGCGATGCTTTTATAATTTATAGTATTCACATTATTGCAAATATGTTGCGACGGTATCTGCCGCAGTCGGTGGTGGACGCGGGAGCAGTGGCCTACCTGGCACCCCTGGTGGTCAACCAGGACGCCAAGCTCAAGCGGCAGGTGCGCGGCAGCTCAGGCGGCAGCTGCTGACCTGCCGCCAGCCCACCGCCAAAATGAGGTGCAGATAGATGGCAGTGCTTCCGAAGCGCTTTGTGATTGGCACAGTTGGCTCGCGGAGAGCATGCCAAATGTGCCGCCATTCCTGATCTGCCCAGGGTTGTCCCATCCAACTTGGCCTGCGCGCGGCACGCAGGTCTGCAGTGCGCTGGCGCAGGTGGCCAAGCACAGCGTTGACCTGGCAGAGGTGGTGGTGGAGGCGGAGGTCTTCCCAAAGCTGCTCACCTGCCTCAAGGTGGGATCAGGGCCACGTGACAAGCAGTCACACCCATCCGTCCGCGCCACTTTTGATACAGCTGGGGTTGGTGGAGCGCCCTCCTGGCTATCAGCGTCCAAGTGCAGCCTAGCAAAGCGTGACTGGGTTACAAACTCATTGCGTCACATGATGCCTTTGATTCACAGTTCCCCGACGAGTTTGTTCGCAAGCACGCGGCCACGCTGGTGCGCGAGGTCGCGAAGCACACGCCAGAGCTGGCGCAGCTGGTGGTGGCCAATGGCGGCGTCGCAGCGCTCGTAGAGTGAGCGGGCGCGCGCCGCCTGGCGCGCGGCTGTGGGGCGGGGGCGGCTCCCTGAGCGTAGGAGGTCGGGGCGGATGTTGAGGGCTCGGCAGGATCAAGCGGCCACCGAGCAGAGGCGAGAAATTGGTGGCAAATCCAACGACTTCTCTGCAGTTTGTTTCACCAAGTCTTGCCCGATGCCATTCCCATGACCTGCCCAGTTCATAAGCAGACTAGCAAGCTCTTGCAACCTGTTTACGAATACCGGTATCAACAACACCTTCTCTAACAATCTCTGAATTGCTCTCTTGCAACCGCCGACCCCCCCCAAAAGGTACATCACCGACAGCGTCGGCAACAATGCCCTGCCGGGCATCATGGCGCTCGGATACATTGCGGCGTTCAGCGAGACCCTCGCGCTGGCGGTCATTGCGGAAAAGGTGGGGGGGGGGGGCAAGTGGCTGCGGGGGGTTGAGGGCTGTGTGCTCTGTGTGTGTGTGTGTGTGTGTGTATGTGTGTGTGTGTGTGTGTGTGTGCGTGCGTGTGTGCGTGTGTGTGTGTGTGTGTGTGTGTGTGTGTGTGTGTGTGTGTGTGTGTGTGTGTGTTTGTGTGAGCGTGCGAGGCAAAGCGTGTCTGCTGCACCCTTGAATGTGGACGGGCTTGCTGGTCAGCATCCCTCGAGCCACGCCATTGGGGCCCCGCCCTGTTCTGCCGCTGCCCCGCAGGCCCTGCCGCCGCTGGTGGCGGCGCTGGCTCAGGAGCCGGAGGACCACGTCAAGGCCGCGACGGCCTGGGCGCTGGGCCAGCTGGGGCGGCACACGCCAGATCACGCCAAGGCCGTCGCTGACACAGGTGCGCACCTGACGGGGGGTTGGGCAGGCTTCTTTGGGAGGGCGGATGAGCCGGGTGGGGTGCAGGCCAAGCGCTGAGCTTGACGTGTGCATAACAATCGTGTTGTACTCGTACCACAGTGTGCCGCCTGTTCGCCCCACCCCTTTTCTGGCGTGGCGGTTGCTGCCCGCTGTCGTCCGCAGGCGTGCTGGCGACGCTGGTGGCTCTGGAGGCCAGCTCTTCGTCGTCAGAGGACCTGGCCACCAAGGCGCGCCGCAGCCTCAAGAGCATCGTGTCCAAGGTGGGTGGCTGCACAGGCAGGGTCACGCTGGGTTTGGGGGCTGACACAGACAGGCAGCGGGTGGCTAAGTGTGGTGTTTGATTTGAGATCCAGGGGACAGATTTGTCTGCGTGGGTTGTCGGCCAGTGTGCGGAACCCCCCTTTCCTCCTCCTTTGTGCAACTTGCATCCTCGCATGCCCCTTGCCCCCTTGACGCTCAACACACGATTCCCGCTCCCCAGCCCTGCATCACGCGCCCCCCTTCACTCCGGCCGCCGGCCGCTCGGCCTCAAAAATTTCTCATCCTCAACCACTAATCAACCCCCTCCTCCCACCCCCTACCCTGCCTGCAACGCAGTTGAGCCACCTGCCTGCGCTGGACTCCTTGGTCCACAGCCCCCTGCCCGAGGGCGTCATGCGACTGGTGCTGGAGCAGGCGGGCAAGGTGCTGTCCAACGACGCAGCGGGACGCAGCCAGTTTGTGCACAGCGGGGGCCTGGCGGCGGTGCAGCAGCTCGCGGAGGCGCCCGGCAGCAAGCTGAAGGTGGGTGCAGGGTGGCGCCGCAAGTGGGTCGCCATCTAAGACGGGAAAGCGAGCGATAGAGTGCGTCTTGGGCGCTAACCAATGCGTCTGACGAGGCCTGCTGCTGCATCAGGCAGTTGATGCCGCGGCAGTGGTTTCCTAATCACGCGTGTCGCCCATACACCGGGATGGGTACATACATGATGTACGCCTGGGGAGGGCACCCGCAGGTCGGCAGGGGGCAGATGCCCGTGGCATGGCCCCTCAAAGTTGAAGGGTCCCGTGCTCCCCTGTGCAAGTCAATGATCTTGAACATGATCTAATTGAAAACTCGCTGCAACACCCTGTTGCCTTGGATCTGTGTGAATTGCAGGAGGCGGTTGAGATCATCAACAGTGCGTACCCCGAGGAGATCGTCCGATACTACAGCCCCTCCTATTCAAAGCAGCTGCTGGACAAGCTCGACGCCGCCGCAAACGCATAAGAAAGCGTGGGAGCAGCCACGTGGGCAAAGGGCTGCATCTTTGCGTGTGCACGCGAGGAGCGTGTCGGTGCCGGCGCTGCGAGTGGCTTTGCAGCTGTGGCGCGCACTGTGCGGCCGCAAAGCACAGGTGGCCGGGATGAGTTGGGCCCGGCGCCAGGGCCTGCGCCAGGGGCCGAGATGGGTGCCAAAATAATAGGATAGTACGCGCGCCGCGGCGGCGTTCCACTGACCCGGTGCCTTTGAGGCTGCGGCAGCTCAGGCCCGCGGCAGAAGCGCTGGCAGCAAGTCGCTGCTGCCTTGTGCAACGCACTAACCCAGCAACGATCACTAAGCGTACCCCGTGTATCCGCCTGACCTTTGACCACTCGACCATTTTTCCATGCGACCATGCTGGCTGCAGCAACTGTAGCCGTCTGCTGCTGCACAAGCGGCTCTACCATGTCTGATGACCACGTGACCCAAAGGTCCCGTGTTTGCAATTTGGGCAACTGTAAAATTCACCAGAGGCTGCCTTCTGGTGGGCACAAATGGTCGCCATGTTGAGCCTCCGACGTTTGTGTACATGCATTTTCCAGGGCAGGTTGCGGGGCTCAAGAAGCAAACGGTGGGCTTGCTGGATGTCTGGGGACTTCAAGCATCAACCAGCCAGAGCGCCCCCCCCCCCCGGCCACCACAACAGCCCGAATGCACGCTGCCTGGCGCTGCCGGGCAGGGTCTCAATTATGGGCACAGGCAGGTGCGTTGGTGTCCCAACAATTCATGAATGCAGGCTATTTTAATGTGATGCGACACGCGCCAGCAACTGGCGCCTGAAGCCGGCGTCGCTCACGGCACCACCGCTCGGCGCATTAGTATCCGCGGCCGCCGCTGCGGCTGCGCGCCAAACCCCAGCCCGAACAGCCCGCCCCCCGCGCCGCCGGGCGCGTCCCTCTCGACCTCCTCGAACCCGCGGCCCTGGTACAGCCGCCGCGCCGCGTCGTCCGCCTCGCGCACGTGGAGGTACACCTCTTCCCGCGCCGCCCCCGCCGCCGGCCCCGCGCCCGCGCCGCGCGCGGCCGCCGCGTCGCACGCGCGCAGCATCGCGGACGCGACGCCCTGGCGGCGCAGCTTCGGGTCGACTGCCATGTTGGAGAGGTAGCAGGCGCTCGGCGGCAGGTCCCTGAGGCGTCCGAGGCCGTCCCGGGCTGCGGCCTCGGAAAGTTCGAAGGCCAGGCCGGCGGTGCCTACAAGGCGCGAGGGCTGGCCCTTGGGCAGCAGCGACGCGTCTGCGCGGCGGCGGGCCGGGCGTGGTGGTTTTGGGGAACGGAGTGTCGGGGGCTCGCGAATGCATGCGGCTGCTTTGGAGTGGGGTGGATGTCAGTGTGTTAAGCACAATTCCAAAAAATTCTGCGGCACGCTGGGCCATGCAACCGGTCAAATATCTGGGGAGAATGACCACCAACCTGTAGTTTTTCGACACCTCGCCACTCACCCGTCGGCACCAGGCGCGCCACCAGCGTCACCCCCAACTCTGGGCTGCTGAGCTGCTCCTGCATGAATTCCCTGGGGGGGGGGGCAGGGCAGGTCGCCGCTCGCTCGTTGGGGGAGGACACCAAACCGCATGCCAGCCGCGCAGCCAGGGTCAAGGGGCCGCCCATCTGGCTTGCTGTTGCACCAGCACTTCAACGGCCATCCGCGCCTGATCAGCCCATCAACCCTCCCCTCGCTGTATCAGCTGAGCGTGTCCACTCTGATAAGCCGGCCCTCCTGCTGCGTCTCAGAATGAACCAGCTGGGGGTCACCGGGGTGCTCCTCTAGAGTGTGCATGCTGCTGCCTCAAGCTGCATCAGCCTGGCATCAAGCCGAACGGCCCGTCCACCAGGCGCTGCTGCTGCTCCGAGGAGCCGCCCTGCCAGTGCTCACGTGGCCTCCTCGAGAGACACCGCCTCTGGCGTGCCGGCAAACGCGCGCGCCAGCAGCAGCGCGGCGCCGCGTACGTCTCGCTGGCTGAGGGCGCTGTGGGGGGAAGGGGGGCGGCAGAGCACGGTGGGAGAGGGGGCGCGTTGCCGCTGCGACTGTCCAGCAGCCGCCGCTGCTGCTGCTGCCGCTGCTGCCGCCGCCGCCGTCGCTGCTGCTGCTGCTGCTGCTGCCGCTGCTGCTGCTACTGCTGCTGCTGCTACTGCTGCTGCTGCTACTGCTACTGCTGCCGCGGCTGCCAAGGTGTGTTTTTTTTTTGCTGATGTGGCTTTTCATGCTGCCCGGCTGCGCATGCTGGGCAGTATACCGCAATTTCCCCTCGCGAATATCAATACGGCACACAAGGACGCGCTTACTTGCCACAACCTATTGCTACCTCATTGGGCGCACCTCACTGTCAGCTGTCCGCAGGGAAGCTGCTCAGTGAGCAGTACATCCTGCGCGCCGTCATCGGCTAAATGCGCCTCCGCTCCTGCCGCACCCATCGGCTGCGCAGCTGCACAAACGCAGCGCAGGGTACGTTTTTGATGCACCCCGGCACTGCACGGGCCTGCATGCGGCCAGAATGCCTTCCCAGGGGGTGGCAGGGCCCGCACACGACGAGGTGGCGCTGCTGCGGCCATGAATGATTGGGCGACATGGGCGCTGCGACCACTGGGAGGTGTCCTGACGGCCTGCATTGCTTTCCGAGCTATGTTTTAAGCAATGGACACGGGTGTGTGACGCGGTGAAAGTCACCGTTCACTGCTGCACTCGGCTTGAATAGACACGCAACCGTGTTGCTCTTGATTCGATCGATGCACGGTCTGGAAATGCACAAGTTGCAAACGGCGACGACCTAGCCACGAGGAGGATCAGTGTCACACCAGCTATCTACAGTATATTGTTCCCTGAAAGCCAATAACAGGGGTGTCCAAGCAGATCATTAGAAAATCTTGGGCCACGTAACACGTTACCCAGCCAGCCAGCCTGCAAGTGCGCACAGATCGTCTGGCGCGAAAAAGCAGCTGTCACAGCTCATCAGAGGAGCGACCACTGCCCATAAAGACGTTAGAGGGAGGCATTTGTTGACGACATATTAAGCGCGGGCGGCCATGGACGGCGAGGTTGGCGCGGGAGCAGCATCACATGCAGCAGCTGACGGCGACGACGCGCCGAGCACAAGCCAGCATCAGCAAGACCAGGATTTTGAAGAGGACGAACAGGGGGCATATCAAGGGGGTGGTTTCGCCGAGGAGGACGACTTGGATGGCGCAGCCCCAGCAAGCGATTTCCAGCAGTTGAAAAAGGCGCGCTCCCGTGCTGCTTGACATTTGAACTGCACCCTGAGGGCGACCTCCATGCAAAGCGGATCCATGCCAGCCTGGTTCTCTGCCAGTCACTGAGGCAGGGTTGCGCAGCAGTGTTCTGCCCTCTGCATCACGGCAGCAGCATGGCAGCACAGACGAGCACAAGCAGGGAGGCCAACAATTCGACACCCTGCGCGGCCCTCTCTCTCCCTTTGCCCTCATCCCCCTCACAGGCCCTGCTAAACGAACGGTTATCTCCAGAAATCATGGCGTATCAGGGGGCCTTGGTGGAGCGCGTGAGAGAGCAGATGGAGCAGCAGGTGCGTCCTGTTGTCAAGGAACGCGCCGAACCGCTTGCATGCTGTGCGCTCGTTCGCCCACGGCACGCCCGGCGCCGGCTGGCGCCTGGCAGCCACAGGCCGCTCCCCCACCATTTATAATTCGTCACGCTCGCTTGCAGCCGCTATCGCAATCGCTGCCGCGCTTACGCTCGGACTCATCAATTCGGACCCGCACGGGCCCCGTGCGGCGCCTCCCGCACGTGCCGCACCCCGCGCGGATCTCGCAGACCCCTGATGGCGTTGCGTGCATGCAACCCAACCCAACCGCAAAATCAGGACCGCGAGATCGACCGGCTGGAGCGTGACCCTGACGGCGACGTGGCCCACGAGGCGCTGCTGCTGGAGCGCGACAGGCTGAGGTGGCTGGTCAAGGCCTACCTAAGGACGCGGCTGGCCAAGGTCCAGGAGTTTGCGGGTGGGCCGCCGGGCGCGCGGGGCGGGATGGGTGCGGGCAACAGCGGCGCGCACGCGTCGCGTTCGGCCGCGTCACCGATGCGTGTCGGCTTGGGCATGCCCGTGCACGTGCGTGTTGCGTGCATACGCCCTGTGAGCGGTCTGTCACTACGCGTCTCCCATGGACTCTTGCTGGACTGGCTGCCCTCTGCTTCAGCACGCGCCCCTTCCAAAGCCCGCCCCACTCCAAGCCGCCGCACGCCCCCCCCCCTTGCTAACCCCACTCGCCCTCCCCGCCCCCCGCCCAGCCCTCGTGCTGCGCGACTCCAACGGCGTGCAGCGCCGCGTGAGCCCCCAGGAGCTGAAGTTTGCCAACGACCACTATCTGGCCCTGGGGCGACTCATGAACGACGCGGTGCTGACCCACCTGCCCCCAAACTACAGCAGCCTGGTGCGGCGCTGCGGGGCAGGGCCAAGGCTGTGACAGGGGCGGCTGCGGTCTGCGGCGCGCCCAGTTTTGGGGCCACCTGGGCATGTGTGGGGGTGTGCGCGAGGGGGCAGACGGGCCGCGCTCAGCAGAGGGTTGCGGTGCCGTGTGGGGGCTGAGGGGCCATGTGGTGCGTGCCGGGGGCTTGCGGGGCGGGCGCGGGATCTGCCCAACAGATGCAGGGGCCGGGGCAGCCCTGAGCGCTCCCCTCTTTCTCACCAAGCCGAAACCCCCTCTACCCCTCCATTCCGTCACTCGACTCCCCTCCAAGCCCTTTTCGAATCCATCTGTTGTTCTATCTCATCTAACCTTCATCTTGGTTCGTTCTCCTGCATTTCCTTCTGTCTGCCTCCTTGATCCCTCGCCACCCTCTCGGCCGCTGCCTCCCCTCCGATCGCAGCTGAAGCGGTTCAACGGTGAGAGCGGCCAGGCCCTGGTGGAGGAGCCAGACACAGACGTCTTTGTGTTCTGCATGGTGGACAGGGACTGCGGCCAGGTGAGAGGGCGCACACGTAGGTACAACACCTACGTGTGTGCATGTGCGTGCGTTTGCGTGCGCGCGCGTGTGTGTGTGTTTGGTTGCGTGCGTGCATGCATGCGCGCGCGCGCGTGTGTGTGTGTGTGTGTGCGTGCGTGCGTGCGTTCGCGTGTGTGTGCGCGCGTCTACGTACGCTTGAAAGTGAGTTGTGCCAATGCAAAGGAGGTGGCAGGAAGAGCGCCGGGGGTGAGCATGTGCATGTGTGTAAGTGTGTATGTGCGCGCGCGCGTGTGCAGGTGGGGTCAGGCGGGTGAGGCATCGAGGCCTGCAATGGACCACTAATGCTGCTGATTACCGCTTAGATGCTGGATTTAGATGGGAAGCGTGCATGCTGAGGTCGTCCAATCTGCCTCTGGCCGCGATTGTGCAAGCATTGGCTGCGGTGGCAAATCCACATCTGTGTCTTGCCTTCAATTTTGCTGCAACGCAGATCCCAGACGGGCCGAACGGAGAGACAGCAGAGCTGAATGCAGGTGAGGGGCTGGCAACGGGGCCGCTGCATGGGGCCCGCTACAGCCCTGCCGTCAGCTCAGGGGCCGCATGTGGGGGCTGGGGGTGCAGGCCCTGGTGCTGCCCCGCGGAATGCGCCCACCCGCGCCGGCGGCCGCGTGACTGGCGCCTGTCCTGGCGGGGGCCGCGGCCGGGCCCGCCAGCTGGCGGGCTGACGGGCTCCTGCCCCTGCGCCCCTTCAACCCCCCTCTAAACCTTCAAATCCCTTCATACAGGCGACATCCTGAACATCAGGTACAAGCACATTGCCCACCTGGTGCACGGCGGCCAGGTTCACCTAGTCTGATGATGTCACTCCTGCACGGGCACAGGGCCCGCCCTGCGGGCGGCCAGCCCGCGTGTCCATGGCCTCGCAGTGGTGTAACTCAGACGCGTGTGCATCTGGGTTGAATGGGGGGGAGCCAGCGGCTTGCGGGTTGCATGGCGGGAACCCGAAGTTCACACAATGGTAATGAAGAGAATCGCGGCCAGTTTCACAAGTGACTGAATTCATGTGGGTGGCCAGCTGGCAAGTGGTGCAGTAAGCGCATTCACGCAAGACTTAGATGTTTGAATCAGCAAACGGGGGGGG